CATGCTATGCTCAATGCGCTCACCCCCACGCTTTCCTTACCCGCATTCTCCTCGAATGCCCGGCGGACCCTCCCCCGCGGGGCCCGCAGCCGCTGACCACATGGGAGGAATGGGAGACCCTGCTGCGCTCGACGGACCCGGCCAAGCAGACGACCGCCACTGACCGGGCTGCGACATCATGCAACTGCATCAACTCATGAACGCATAGAGCAGTGGGGGTCGTGCGGGACCCTGGGCCATACGTGCCCGAATCCCTTGGTCAAATAATGCTTTTACCACCAACAACAATCGGCTGTACAGGAGTACAGCTACTCCTGTACAGCTGTACTCCTGTACAGTGTTATAGCTGTACAGGAGTACAGCTATAACACCGAGATCTCTCTTTACAACTAGTTTTTCTTCCTGCTAGCGAGACCTCGCACGTTCAGTGAAGCAAAACGGAAAAAGCCTTCCATAGCCATAGTATGCGGTCGACTGAGATTGGGAGCACGATGCTCACCTCCGTCACTCAGTGCAGCTAAGCCTGCCAGCCGCATGCCTCGTTACCAATCCGTAGACGAGGCCTCGATGCTACGAAGACAACGACGCCGCCGGACGCCTGTCCAGTGGGATAGCAAGCTGTGGGCGCAACGCCGATCGACGCGGTGGTAGTGCTTTGGATGGTGGTTCTTCGACGCCAGCGTCTCCTGCAACGCTGCTGTCTCCCACTTCTTCTCATGCCCGTTTGCCTGTTGTGCCACTGGAAGCTTCCATCACCAATTCACCCACTTGCAAGTTCTCTCCGGTCACGTCCTCCATCACCTTACTTACTGTCGGCGCCGCTGTCACTAGCGCCAGGGTTTCCACAATGTCCATTACCATATGCTCTTTTTCTGCTTGGGAAGTAAGGGAGACGCTAGCCGCACGTCCCTCTGTGTTTGGGATGTAAGAACAGCGCAAAAATTATAGACAAGGATGAAAGAAGCGACGACACCGCGCTCTCGTCTCTTCTTTCGTCCTTGTCTATCATTTTTGCACTGTTTTTACATCCTAAGAATTAACCACCAACTAGCCGAACTTTCGCTATTATCCCTCTGTGTCTGTTTTGTTTGCAGGCCTCAGCGTGCTGCCAGCGACTTCCTTGGCATCGGCTTCGTCCATGATGTGTTCTGCAGTGTCTTCACTCGCCGTTGTCCCCGCAGGTGCCGTAACACTGGTATACGTAGGCACAGTGGAACTCTACCCGGGGTGACCACTAGGGCTTTTTAGATGCGGAAGCATTTTATACTCGCGCCTTGTAGTGCGCCGTCCGCGCCGTCCGCGCCGCTTCTCGAACATTCGACAGCTGACGCGCGCGCATGCGCCGTCGTGCCGTCGCCCACTCTTCCACCATCTGTGCATCCCTTCCTCCTCTACACACCGCGCGTGCTTCACTCCTCCACCATCTGTGCACCCTTCCTCCTCTACACACCGCGTTCGACATCTACAATTCTCCTGATTCTCCAGTGGACGCGCATGTGGCGTCGCGCTTCGAGAACATTCAACAGCTGACAGTGCATGCGCCGTCGTGCTGTATATATACTCAAGGTCGGCGCTCGCTCGCTCAGTTGCCGCTCGTCGGTTGGTTTGTACGGCGCGTCGACGTCCAAGGTCGCGGTGAAATGAATTCCAACGAATCCACAAACACAATGATCGACGTCCCTTCGACCAGCGCCGCCCTTTCGCATACGTGTGTACGTGTTCACTCATTTAACACCCCCTCCTACAACCACGTTAACCAATTTAGCCATCGACCCAAGTAAGTCGCAATTTAACACCCCATTTCACAACCACGTTAACCAATTTAGCCATCGACCCAAGTAAGTCGCGCTTTAACACCCCGTTAACCAATTATATGCTCCGCATCCTCCTCAGTGTTCCCCCGAGGGAAGCTGCGGGCAATTTTTTTCCCCAGCAACGCGCAATCGATGGGGAATATCCTCGATGTTAATGTCACTTATAAGCTTCAGAGTAACGGTTCTCGTTGTTGACCCTTTATCCGTACCTCCATTCACACGCCATCGCTCACGAGTGATGTCTGTGACACAGCCGTAGGGTAGCAACGCCGCCCTCACGTCATCATCAGCTGTGTTGAACAGGAGCCAGTGGACTTGGATACGGAGATCGTTACTTGTCGAGTCAATGACGATACAACGTCAACCTTTCACTTTGATGCCACTGCTTGCAAGAAGTCTGCAAGCAGTCATGGGCCCGGCCGGACCGGGCTCGGGCCCATGAGCTTCGGGCTTGGGTCGCGGCTGGGCCTGAGTCAGGCCCGCAATAGGCCCAGGTCTGGAATACAGGGTGTTTCAAGAAATAAGTCCAATATTTATGAAAAACTACAAAAAAGAGGCATCTGCATTCTAGCTGCCGTGTTCCCTTTACTTTGGCAGAAGGCTTCTTTGAATGTGTACAAATAAAAACTACGGTAGTAATTAGAGAAATTGAAACAAATAACTTCACAAAAAATTAACAAAAATTTAACAAAAAATTAAAACAGCCCCGTCGTGGTGGTCTAGTGGCTTAGGTACTCGGCTGCTCACCCGCAGGTTGCGGGATCGAATCCCGGCTGCGTTGGCTGCATGTTCGATGGAGGCGAAAATGCCATTGGCCAGTGTGCTCAGATTTCAGCGCACGTTGATGAAGCCCAGGTGGTCGAAATTTTCGTATTCCTTCACTATGGCGTCTCTCAAAAAGATATGGCGATTTTGGGACGTAAAACCCCACATATCAATTATTCAATGAACAAAATTTAAAACAATCAACTTTTCATTGAGGGTGTTTTCGAAGTGAATGGTATATGCGCTGTTTGGTGCGTCGGTTTTGGTTTCGCCAGCTAAATTAGCATGATTTCTTTGCTCAGTGGTGATTGCCACTTGCCGTGTTTTCGAAATTTCAAGATGGCTATGGACTATTAGAAAGTACTTGCATTCGCCCATTTGGCCAGACTAGCTATCTCGACCGGTTAAAAGTTGATTGTTTTAATTTTCACATTTGCTGCCGTAATTATTGTTTTGACACATCTGAAGATTCATTCTTCCAAAGTAAAAGGAATGGTGCAGGTAGATCGCGGATGTCTCCTTTTTGTAGTTTTCAAATCATTGAACCCATTTATTGAAAAAACCTGAGCACCATTATCAATATAATGGCGTGTATACGCTGTTTGGCTTTGTTTTTTTTTTTTTGTGAGGTTAACCATTTTGAAGCGGCCCAGGTTATAATACGTAGGATTTCGCAAACCAGATGTGCGTCTGGTTAACCTCCCTGCCTTTATTTGCATCTTTATCTCTATCTCTCTCTCTCTCTCTCTCTCTCTCTCGTAGCTGAATACTTCGGGTAATTAGACTAGCTGGAGTGCTTTAGTATGTACTCAAATCGGAAAATACATGGCATCTGCCATTTGGCTCCATCGGTACGCTACACGTTTTTTTTTTTTTCAAGAAACGTGCACATAATGTATTTTGTATGCGAAGTGACTCTTATGACAGGCGTGCCAATCGATAAAAATGTTGCATTTTTTTCTGCTACCAAGGCAGTTGCAAATATTTAGCACACATTAATTGCCCCAAAACGTTAAGGATTTAACTGGATTGTCCATTATATGGAACAAGTTTTTGCTTATTTTTACGCACATCATGTTTTTCGTATTTCGACAGTAATTCATAAGCGTCCTCATTTGTCTAAGCGCAGGTGTTCTCATGGCGCTCAAAAACATGCAAGCACTCCCACGGGGGGAAGTAAGAGTTTTATATAAGGAAGCTCATGATTATAATTTTGATTTGCTGCTGTACACCTTGAAACAGGGAACAGGGGGGGGGGGGGGGTAGGCAGACGTGCATTGGCACTTTTTACTGGATAAATGGGCGACGGCTCCTGCGGTACCCGGATCTCAATAAATTTGCATCCTTTCAAACTTTTTCCCCCAATTTCTGCCGTCTTTTGGCTATTAACGGATAAGTAAAACACATCAGAGCTGGAAACACTAGGTCAGTCGTAAATTAAATCTCCTTTATCGATCGACATTTTCACACTAAGTGTGCCAGTTTTTTTTATATATATATACAAACAAGCAATAAAAGTTCATTTTATTTGGGCCAAACGTGTTTCGTCTTACTGAGAAATCAGTCAGCTTAACTTTCGCCTCTTCAGAAAGCATGAACTAAATTTAAAGAAATATATTAACAAAATTTTATAGCCACATTGGCCAAGCAGCCAGCGGATCTCAAAAAAAGGCACGAGCGCATTGCGCATGCATGCGAAGTGGAAAAGTGGTGCTTACGCTGCAACCCTTCTCCTCTCAATGCTTCCTCTTTTCCCTCCATTCAGGGACCTCATTAGTAACGTCATGAAAGAAATTTTTTGTTCATAATTTGATTCGAGTAGGATGCCCAGCAACGCGACTATGCTTAGCTAAAGGTAGCATATACAGGAACTCTAGACGGCCGTAGCAATGGTGCGCCGCCGGCCAATCTCGGAGGCCGTGGCCCACAAGAAGTAGCTTTGGGTTCACACTATAGATGACGCAACAAAAGAGCGGTACACATGTATTCATTCGTGTGCCTATATTATGGGCATCGTTTATGTTAACTTGACACCGAGAAAAAAATTACTGAGGAAAGAAGATGTAGTTAGTATCATGTCGGCACTGCTAGCAATAATAGAATATGCAGTCATAAATTGGGCATAATAAGCGTGCAGCACCACTAATTATAGTGGCTCGTGATAATTACCACAACTGCTCACTAAGAAGACTTCCTGTTTTTTTTTTTTACTTTATAGCTTATTTGGAACGCCCACGACAATCCTTTCGACTGTCAGCTCAACGCCGTCAGTAGTGATATAACGTACTTCGCGAAGAAGAGTAATTTCGGAATTTGTACATCCAATGCACATGTCACTCACTTTGTTGCTGTTAACAGAAAAGAATGGCGAAGCTTCGAAATTAGACAAGAAACATTTGAGCTATCGCTCAAGGTTCTTACCGTTTACTATTCTTTCCACATCCTCATCTTCAGACAAAAATTGAGGGTCGATTAGCGGCATTTCGTTCGGGTGTGTGAAGTTTAGCTTGACGGTGCCACGAGACTTTGGTCGCACCATGGCTACAGCTGGCATGAAGCCAGTGTGGTTGAACATGGGCATATAGTATTCACAAAAGGTCTGAAAGTGAAAAAAAAATATTTGCTTGGTGATCATGGCTTTTCAAAGAAGAAACTTGCTCAAGTTCAGCATGCACACTTGACGCGGACACAACGTCAAGAAATGTTTTTGGTAAAGCATTGTAATCAAGTTTTTCAAATGGGAACCCAGGGTGTGATGTCGACGAGGTATTTACAATTTTTGTTAGGGCAATCTACATTCACAACATATGGGAGTGCCCAGGGCCCTTCATTTATGCAGACCAGGCCTCACCACCAGCCTCCCTTCCTTTCTTTCCTTCTCGTTCATAAAGTGCGAAAGGAAACTAGCTCCGCAATGGATGCCAAAAAAAAAAAAAATCAAGGAAAGGAGTACTTCTCATGACGCCTGCCATTGGTTTCCGTCTTTTTGGGATAACGGTAAAAAAACAAGGAAAAATGGTTCACTTACGAAGTGAATGATGATGAGTGGGCGAAGCAGTGGGATCGTTCGGTGTTACGATAAATCACCCCAGATATTTACCACTCATGCATGTGAGGGACGAAGTGTTGCAGGGCTATATACAATGTTTATTGGTCATTATTGGTATGTTGTGTAGAGTTATGAATTGTGTTTTGCCTTCATTATTACTACTTTGTGGTATCGTATCTAGTCTGAAGTTGGCAAAGAGGAAGCCTGGGCATGTTGACGTATTGGCTAGGGGTTGTTTCCGATAATATGAAATTCATCGTAGAGCATATTGAGACGTCATATACGGCACAAGCCAGTCATTGTCTGTGATCGTCATTTTCATGACGTTTAGTAGGTACCTTGCATGTGTTGTGCCCTAATGGCACAAAGAGAATGTGAGGTGTGAAACGCGCTTGTTCTTCATCGTCATCAGCACCATCATCGTGGTCAGCGGTTGCTATGGTGCCCAACGCCAACGCCAAAGGACAAGCCTTTACCAAAAGGAGCTTCACCCCTAAAACACCGCCAAGCACTTCATACAGATGGTTAATCCGCGAAGCTGAAAAGTGCAGTCATAGGCGATTGCAGACGTCTCAGCCGAAGCAAACCGCTTCAGAATCGGCCACCGTCAGTCCCGGCCAAAGCCTGTCGGGACGGGTGAACGCTTTCTCGACATTGCCACGCTGACGCTGCTCTGCCTCCAATGACACTTCCTCGGCTTTCCGTTGTCGCTTGCATTCGGCTCGGAAGGCACCGGATTCTCGGTGCGCAGTTGTTGCGCTTTGCCACGTGGGCTTGTTCTTGTGACAGTACTGCTGCATTGGTTTGCCGAACAGGAATTCTCTCACGGATCAGCTGTCGAGTGCAGTTCTTGGAAAGTTTTTTTTTTATTTAATATACCTCAAAGGCCACCCAACAGGAGGCTTTACATGAGGGTGTGGGCAAACAATATAGGGTTAATAAAACAATGATTCTATGGCATTTTTAAATCTATCCGTGTTGCTATGATGGATGACACTTGGAGGAAGATCGTTCCAGTCCCTGGCTGCTTGAGCGAAGAAGGAGTGATGGTGGGCTGTGGTACATGCAGGAGGTGGGTACACGGCCTTGTGGTGGCTTGTGCGGGCTGAAGTACGATGAGCTGATTGAATGGGACAGTTGTAATGAAACGTATGATACATTTTGTGATACAAGGATAGTCTGGAAACCTTACGGCGTAGGTCAAGGTTAGGTAGATCTGCTATTCTTTTAAGGGTGGTAACACTGGTATGATACGAGTAATCTGAGTAGATGAATCTAACTGCTCGGTTTTGAATTAGTTCGATGGACTTACTTAGGTTAATTTGGAATGGGTCCCAAATGGCGGATGCGTACTCTAGTTTTGGGCGAATTAGTGTTTTGTAGGCTAGTAATTTGACTGATGGAGGGGCAAGATGCAAGTTACGACGAAGGTAACCGAGAGCTCTGTTAGCATTGTTAACTATTTTACTTACGTGAAAAGACCAGTTTAGATTCTGTGAAATGTTAACACCGAGATATTTAATGGAACTTAGGGAAGAAACTATGGAGCCATTAATATTATAGTTAGTGGTGGGTAAGTTTTGGCGTCTGTGAAATGAAATAAGTGCAGTTTTATTAGTATTTAATACCATGAGCCATTTGCGACACCACTCGTCCAGCTTTAGTAGGTCCTGCTGGAGAGTAATTGTATCTGAAACGTTAGTAATAGGTCGGTAGATTACACAGTCGTCGGCAAAGAGGCGGATGTTAGATGAAATGTTATCGGGTAAATCATTGATGTAAATTAAGAAGAGGAGGGGTCCTAGAACTGTACCTTGTGGCACACCGGAGATTACGTTGGAAAGGGAAGAGGGCGTATCGTTAGCTTCAACAAATTGCTGACGGTTAGTGAGGAAGTCCTGAATCCAATTGTAGACAAGTTGGTTAAGGCTTAATTGGGAGAGTTTTAGTAGTAGGCGGTTGTGGGGAACTTTGTCAAAGGCTTTCTCAAAGTCAATAAAAAGGGCGTCAACTGGTATGTTAAGGTCTACACTAGCGCTTAAGTCATGGATGAATAGTGCAAGCTGAGTATCGCATGAGAGTCCCCTTTGGAATCCATGTTGGTTAGGGTGAAAAAATTTAACTGAGGTAAGGAAGTTAGCGATTTGTGAATGAATTATATGTTCCATTATTTTTGAACAGACGCTGGTTAAGGAAATTGGCCGGTAACTAGATGAACCAGGCTTAGGAACCGGAACGATCTTACCCACTTTCCAGTCGTGAGGAACGATGCCGGATGAGAGTGATTGCTGAAAAATATAGGAAAGAATGACACTGGTGATTTCTTTGGTGTTTTTGAGCACCTTAGCATTTATACCATCGATGCCGCAGGATGATGTAAGTTTTAATGACTCGATAATTTTCTGGATGCCCTGAGGTGAAAAAATGACGTCCGGCATGGTAGGGTAGTTGTGGGGGGAGACATCAGGGAGGTTTTCAATCGGTTCTCTGGTGAAAACGGAAGAAAAGGTATGGTTTAGTTCTTCTGCTACTGCATTATTCGCGATAGGCTGTCCAGTTGGATCCATTATTGATATGCATTTGTTTTCGTTTCGCGGGTTAATCACTCTCCAAAATTGTTTTGGGTTAGTGCGGAGTAAGTTGGGCAAGGTGGTATTATTAAACAGCCGCTTCGCTTTATCGATGGCAGAGCAGAATAGTTTCGTGGTAGTCTGGTATTTTTGCCACGCCACAGGATTGTTGCTGTTTTTTGCGGCGCGAAATTGTCGTTTCTTTTTGTTTTTGAGCCTCTTGAGTTCAGGATTAAACCAGCGGGATGTGCTACGTTCGCCAATCGTAATTGTTGGAATGTAAGTACTAATAAGCTCATGCATTTTAGATTTAAACATTAACCAATTTTCAGTGACAGATCGTTTGTTAAAATCTTTAACTACAAACTGACAGAATTTTGTTAGTTCTTTATTGAAATTATTATAATCACCCTTATCGTATAAGGTAAGCTTTTTCCTTGTTTTGTCTGGGCGCTTCAGCCTACAATGGAATGTGCCATGAATGACCTTATGGTCGCTGATTTCGTCGAGGTACGAAAGCGAAGTGATTCTATCAGGAAGGGTTGTTAGTACTAGATCAAGTATATTGGCTGAGTGTTTAGATTGCCTCGTTGCTGCATTAACAATTTGAGTTAAAGCGAATGTTAAACATGTATCGACGAAGTTGTTTTCAATGTTTTGTTTCGATGTGACAAGGACGAGGTCAGACCAATCTATGTTCGGAAAATTAAAGTCGCCGAATAGGACAACTGGTGCATTAGGGAAATGAATCTTTAGTGATTGTAGCGCGTCATGAAACATTGGTATAAATGTACTGTCGGAATCAGGTGGGCGATAGCATGCACCTAAGACTACGTGGGGTTGAATGGCTTTACAGCACACAAACACCATTTCGAGTGAGGTTGGTATATTGATACGATAGCAGCCAAGGTCACGGTGAGTAGCAATGAGCACGCCACCACCACGCCTGCCATCTCGGTCGGTACGAAAAATATTGAAATCTGGATAAGAAGGGAATATTTCACCGCTGATGACAGACGAGTTTAACCACGTTTCGGTTAGCACTATAACGTTGGAATCTGAAGAGTCAATTAAACAGGACAAGATATCCCGCTTTGGTAGTACGCTCCTGATATTAGTAAAAAGAAACGATAAATAGTCCTTGGGACCGTAAGGGCAACCACTAGCTAACTGCTACGGCGTGCGAAGAACGACTTGTTGATTAACCGGGTCATACACGTAGGTGTTCTTCCCTGCTACAAGTTTGTTATGACGAAGGCTGCTGGGAAAAGTTTGAGTTTTTTTGAACTCGACCAGTTTTTTACGGGCTAGGCGTGTGGCTGGTGAAAAATCTTGCACAATGTTAACATTGGGATGCTTGTGATCTCTACTAGCAGTTAGTACCTTTTCCTTATCTTTGAAATGGGTGAATTTTACTAGAACTGGTCTAGTTTTATTCGGCGAAAAGGTACCGAGTCTGTGTGCGCGTTCTATGTCTTTCGGAGCAATAGTTAATTTGAGGTGCTCACTTGAAAACCTGATAATCTTTTCCTCAGATTTTGTCCAACTTTCGTTAGACTCATCATCTATCCCGTAGAACACTAAGTTATTTCGCCGCGCTCTATCTTCGGCGTCATCAGTGCGTGCAGTCAGCTGCTCAATCTGATGCGCGTTTGCCTCTGCGAGTGCATGCACACTCTTCACGTCAGCTTTGATCGCCGTCAGCGATTGGCACTCCCCTTCAATTTTCGTAAGTCTCTCTTTTATGTCTTTCAGCATTTTATCGTTATCAGCCTGTTTATCTCGGATACCTTTGATTTCGCTAAGTAGTGCTGATTGGCCTGTTTTTAGTTCGCGCAAGGCTGCTAACACATCTGAATGGTCGTCACCGGCAGAGGCACGAGTGGCAGGCCCTGGGTTTAGTTCGACATCGCCAGACAGTTGCAGGAGACTCATGATGATATTCACACAGTCGCAAAGAATGGCAAACGCTGCATGTGG